ATTAATTCTGAACTACAGTGTAGTCAGAAAATTCTTCTTCTTCTTTCATAGAACGTATGATTGCTTTTATTATTAACACTATAAAAAACATGAGTAAAATTATTGCACAACACTTTCATTATATTTTAATCATTAATGTTAAGCGTTTTTGCAAAACGTTTTGTTAAACAAAAACGCTTAAAATCAACGATAAAAATAAAATAAAAGTGTTGTGTTATAATTCGTAATATGTTTTTAACAGTGTGGAGAATTAAAGCAATCGCACATTCTACGAAACAAGCGCAGATAGTTTCGTTAAATATACGAATTATTTCTGTGCATTTTACAAAAATTTCGTAAACAAGTAATTTTTAGCAAAAAAAAACCGACTTCAACTCCCATAAAAAAAAATATATATATATATGTCTCATGATCCACTGATCGGATCTCAACCAGATTAGTATGGGACCACCTCTGAGACACTACCTTTCCGATGCAAAAAGAATTATCGAAATCGGTTGACGTGGTCCAAAGTTATGCGGTAACATACATAAAAATAAAAAATAAAAATAAAAAAATATTCCGACGAACTGATAACCTCCTCCTTTTTTGGAAGTCGGTTAAAATCTAAGAAAGAGCACGAAATTCTTTAGTAAATAGTACTTAATTATTTAGTAAATAGTACTAAATTCTTTAGTAAATAGTACGAATACATTCGTAAAATGTACTAAAGATCCGATGCCTCATATTTTCGTAGTTTGTACGAAAAAGGTTTTGTACAATCAACGAAAACTTTCGTGGCTCAAAATGACGAAAAATTTCGTAAGATTTACGCAGGTTTTCGTTATATTTACGCAGATATTATTTTCAGTGTAAATATATGTATACCACTAGCTGTACTCAATAATTTTTTCTTTAAAGTTATAAAGGCGACTCAAAATAGTTTTATTCTTTCACAGTCTCTTGGTAACTCTGACAGACTCATGCAACAAGAGCAACTCAAATCGATGAATTCTTGGCAAAACACTAGCCGGCGCCATATTGTTTTAATGTGGATAGCATGCGGAAACGTTGCCACACAAATAAGAGCATTCGCACACAAAGCTCTCGCAAATATTCGATAACAAACGCACTGACTTTCATAACTAAATATGTACACATGTAATAGGACATACCTACTTACTTAAATATACAAGCGCAAACAATCAAATGAAAATGTCCTTTAAGTTATTTTCCGGCTTCCGTCTTAAATGTCAGGCATGTGTTCGAGAAGTCCCTTGTCGAAGACGAAGAAGCCAATTCAAGCGCTGCCAAAAGCTATAACAACAGCATCAACATAACTACATATATATAATCGTTACTGCTGCTGCAACATCAAACACATAACAAGGCGCAACAGCAGCTACATCGGAAGCGGTTATGGCAATATGTCGACTACTTTGGTAGGTAGTGACAAAACCAGTGGAATGACGAGAGTTGTGGCTGGATGTGGGCGGTGAATGGAGGGAAATGAATTTCGGTTTGGTTTGATGGTAGAGAGGAAATGTTGATTATATGTTCGTAGGTGGCCAATAATAGAGGAAATTCGAGAAAATATTATTTTGAAAAAGCCGCATTTTGTAAGCAGCTGCGCGTGAGTTGGAGCATTGGCACATATTTGTGCGTACTTAAAGTGACTTTAGTGGTGTAGGTGTTTACGATTTAATATTTCCACTGAGAAATAATTGGTTAATTTCCGTTTTCATGCTCTACATCTTCTTCCGATTGATATTTAAACTTGAATTTTAGGTTTTATCGAAAACCTTATTCCTCAAGGCAAGCAGGCGCGAAGCTTAACTTGTCGTACTTTAACGGCAAACATGTAGCATACACTACATGATACATACATTACGTTTTTAAATTTTTTCGCGAAATTTCATAGAATTTTTTTCCTACTTATGCCAATATTTTTTCTCTTAATCGGCATAAACTTTAGTTCTCGTCACAATAAAATATAACATACACAGAGCCAAAGCCAAAGGCACTTAAGTGGGGTGTTCTCCAAACCACGAACGAAACCCCAAATTGACAATGTTGTGACGGACGGAAGACATGCCGCTCGAGCGTTTGCCATCTGTGCGATCACTTTCGAGTTGCGTCCAGAGTACGCAATTATGTATCAAAAGATATACATTAGGAGATGCGACGAAAGCCTGAGATCAAGGTGCTGCCATCACAACGAGCATTTGAGAAATTTAGCACTTGGCTCTTAATCCTGCCTTAAACAAAGAGCTCTTCAGCGCCTTGACACACATAAGTTAGCAGTAGGATTCGAAACACGATTCGACCCCTGTGGGACACCATAAAAAGCTGCTGTGGGAGTAGTAATATTGCGGCAATAAAACTACTAGGTAAGAAACCGGCAGTGATGGGAAAAGCGGGCTTTGAAGAGATGTGCCAGATGTTAAGCGCAATTTGATATTTACCTAATCCAAATGTAAGAGTGCATATTGCTCGACTGACCTCCTTCAATGAAACTGATTGGACCTTATCAATGTGACTGCAGGCCTGGCAAGTCCATTATTGTAATAATTTTTACAGTACGCTATCTTTCGGTTGATTTTAGAGCATTTTTGACTGCGCCAAATGAAGCTGCATTTACGACGCCATGCCGATTCCCGCAATACAAAGTGATGATGAGCACGATATTTTACCCGCGCGCACCTTTTGAGAACAAACCAGGTTCTAGACGGGACGAATCATTTGTGTGTGATTTCTTCAATCTGACACTGCGAAATGGGAAATTGCGCCACCGATTTAAATTGAAACGGCACTAGTGGAGAAAGTGGAATTCAGCAGTAAGAAGATGGGCTGCGGTATAGAATAAACACGTTGTCGCTTCGTTTTTACGACTTGGAATTAATAGAAGTATTTTTTTGGACAATGCTCGTTTCTTTCCTGGACTGTGCGATGTAATAACATTGAAGGCAATGAGAGAGCTGAGAAATTAGCGAAGGAAGAACAATTAAAAGGGAAATTAATTTGCATCCCCTCATACTGACTAGTTACAGATAAATTAGCTTGCAAGAAATCCATGAACGCTGAACTGACTATAATAGAACGAATAGTAAGGATCTGCTTGATTCTTAGGTTAGCGGCATACATATTCAGAACGGCGCAGGCCTTTACACATGCAGCAAGAAAGTAATCACCCCCTATAACAGAACTTGCAAAAGATAGCGAAGAAATTGTTCGGTGTTTGCTGTGCGAATGTTAGGTAATTCAGATGGCTCGACCAGGAAATGTAGGATTTACATCAGTGTCGGGCATTTTTTTACTTTCCTATTCCCGCGGGAATAGGTTGTATTTCACTCCCAACATTACTGTCAGCACACGTTTACAATAAGCTACTTCGTGTTGCGCACGTTCGGCAAAGCATCCTGCAAAAAATGCGACTAATCATGGATGGCTTCGGGAGCAATCGCAAAGGAACACGCGACTAATACCACTTTTGATCTGATTTCTTCGAAAGGAACTGTACACTCTTGTTCGAGCATATCCTATGAAGAGACCAGAATGGATATAAAAAGCGACTAGTCACTTTTAAAAAATAAAAATAAAAGATTGCGCCAGCTGCGATTGGAACAAGGGTTCTCATGTTTGTTAAGCGACTACTCTCTCTATGTGCCAACGCCGTACATGACATTCCATTGACTAAGTGCGTACATATCATTAAATCTTTAATTATACCCGTTATAGAACAGTCGGGGACTAAGTGATCCCCAATTATACCCGTAAGGGATGAGTCGAGACCAATTGATCTTCAGTAATATCCATATCAGACTAGTTGTGACTAATTAATGCCCAGTTGTACCCGATTGGGCTATTGCACACTAGAATGACAGAACAATTGTTCTAACGGTTACACACTGGATGAAAAGTAGCAGAACAACAACAGAACAAAATATACACCGGCTAACCAAAGGATCCTAAAAGACTCTTTTTTGAGCTATAAACCTTCCTATATCGGAGCTTTGCCCTCATAAATGAGCTCTTTTTGTAGCCCTAAATGAGCGATTTCTCGCTCTACGCGGGCATGCTGAATGAAATGACTCCGAAAAGACTCCAAAATCATGAATTTGGTGCATTTTATGACTCTTTTTCAGTGAATTTCGGAGCTATTTTGGAGTCATATTTGAACGTTTCTAGGAGTCTTTTTAGAGTCATATTTGAGCATTTTTGTGGTTCTTTTTTGACGATTTATTGGAGTCTTTTTGGAGTCATTATCTAACATTTCGTAATACTTTTTCGATGTTTTTTAAACCACTTTTAATAGAATTAAAACAAATTCTTTTACATTTCAATTTTAATTTTCTTAATATTATTTGTTATTCAAATATAAAGAATTTGAATAATTAAAAATATAAATACATATACTATATACATTCATACTTTACAACCCGTGCTAAAATTATAAGCACACCACATATTGACAAGTTTTAAAAATTTATTATTATTATTTTTTTAATTTTAGATATTTTTGTATAAATATAGTTGATTCTTTGACAAAACCGGAAAAATCAACAAATGTTTTTTTTTTATATAATCTAATCAAATTTTAGCAGAGAGTAATTTAAAAAAATAATAATAATAATAAAAAAGAGAGTAATTTAAAATTTTATGGTCCAACGTTGTTGTTACTGAAATACATGAAATATACAAACTACGCTTAGTTTTTATCGAACAAAAATTNATTTTTGTATAAATATAGTTGATTCTTTGACAAAACCGGAAAAATCAACACATGTTTTTTTTTTTTTTATATAATCTAATCAAATTTTAGCAGAGAGTAATTTAAAAAAATAACAAATTTGTTGTAAACTTGTTTTCATTTGTATTAAAGTCTGTTCTTTTACAGAATAGAAGAAAATGGATGGATATATAAAAACGTGAATGATAAAATGAAAAGGCGTAATATTTTTTGGTTTTTGTATGAAATATGCCTTAAGCCATGTATGTACAAGTATTTTTTTTTTCATTCACAAACTTAAAACGAGAATACATATCTTTGGAAAATTACCTGATCTAGAAAAACGGTATACAGATCCGTAATCTACGACCTAAAATGAAGTTTACATGTGTCTGCATTTTTTTGTGTCCTTTTAGCGCTCCTAAAGTGTATTTAGTTTTTTCCTGCTTCACTGAAGTTTTCTGACATGGAAGAAGAAAAAATAAAAGTTAATAATTGTTTACAACATTTGCATATAATTGAATAAAAAAATTTATTTAAGTACTTCCTGTGTTCGGATAACTAAATTCAATCAAAATAAGGTATCATACTTTTCATTAGCCGTTGTCCGCCCAGTTTTTAGTTTGACTTCCTTATTTTATGGTCCAACGTTGTTGTTACTGAAATACATGAAATATACAAACTACGCTTAGTTTTTATCGAACAAAAATGTCAAGTTGTGCATTCATTGTGCACACACAGTAAAAATCCCGATAAACGGAAAAAGACTTCAAACAAGTAGTGAAATTTACGGATATTAAAAAGTTTTTCGCTTTCGCGCTACCCACACAGCATTTCCCATTTTATTGCAACAAATTCATTCCCACGCTCACTTTTTGTTTTTATATTCCATTCAACGATTTCCAACTTCAGTTCGACTACGTGTTTGCGTGGAAGCAAAGCAAAAAACGTAAAACACAAAAAAGGAAAAACAAAGTGCAGCAGCGAACAAAATGCTTGCAATTTTTTTATAAATCCCTTCCTGCGTTACGTACCATGTTTCCGGCTGCACTTCCTTTGTTACTGCCAGGCTGTCCGTTAAACTCTGTGGCTGCAGCAGTGCAAATATTTGCACACCAACGCAACTTCATCTCCACGCAGATATACAAATATGCAATGCTCTCGCTCGCCCACCCACTCGACCAGTTTCCCGCCCAAATCAAAGTCACCCTCAGTCCTATCATAAATATGATTTCGCGCCATTCCGGAGGCGTTCATGACGCCACTGTACCGATGACTCGCATACTGGCGTTTGGGTCGGCTTGCAAGTGCCGCCTGAAAGCATGGAAATTGCGGCGCTCCTCCAAATGCGTTGTTTGTGTTGCCTTTTGTCCAGGCGCTCAGCTCAGCGCAGAGCCACGATGCAAGTGCAGCAGTTTGCATACATAAGGCGGGAGCACCAACCAAACCACAAATCCTTCATTTCAGCAGCGCGACAAAAATTTGTGAATGAAGCGAAAAAAAGTCAATACTTTTTTTATAAATTCGTTTTAGCTGAGTGGTGAACACATCGCAAGTGAAACAATGCTGGGCGCGCAGCAGGCAGCTGGCAGACGACGGTCGCATAAATTTAGCTGTGTTCTTTCTCTCTTTTTTGGCGGTTTTCCAACGGAGGCTGCTAAAGTTTTTACCGCGCAAAAGTGGAAGAGAACTACAAATATACATATACATACGTACGTATCTGCACCATCTTCTGCCTACTGAGTTGGCACTCGTAGTTTCACTTGTGAAGTTTTATGTTTCTTTGGTGCAATTTAAGGAGTTTTTATGCAAAGATTTCCTGCGAGAAATACGTAGTGCGCAGATGTTTTGCTGCTCAAAACACAAGTCTATGTGGTATTTATTTCTTCATGCTAGGCGCTGTAACCGCCTTAGAGGTTATGCTTGATGCTGGGTTAGCCACAAAAATACAAATAGTTCATTTAGATTTCATACTAAGCACTCGTCTGTCTAGATTACGTACGTAGTAAGAGTATGGGAGTAGGTCCTACTTCTCCACTTGGCTGGCATATAGCCATCCCTAAACTACGCTAATTTAATGGAGAAGTAATAGAACCTATCCGCAACCTTCCAACGTAGGCAGATGAACCTGCCCGTCTCTAAATACCTGTGGGTAAAAAAGGGAGAGAAGAACCTACCCGCAGTCTTCGGAAAGAGGGTGTAGAACCTGTCCATCTCTACATATCGCTGACTGAAACCTAGACTAGCCCTAGAAATCCAGTCTACTTCAAAGTTACGTAAAGCCCTAACATACGTCTTAGTGGCGTAGGTGACTTAAAAGACAACCTTTTTACAAAGAATAGTGAAGTAATGATAAGAAGAATAAGAATAAAATATATGTAGTTTCATTAATAAAAACTACTACCACATTTATTTAAAACAGCAAAGTATAAAGGCACTTTTGTGTTCAAATTAAAAAAAAAAAATCCGATTGCGTATACGCCTTGTTGACGTAGATAGGGCTTTTAGGGCTGGAGGCAGTAGTACCTGCTCTTTTCATAATACCAAGCAGGGTTGTTGCGAATATTATTCCGAAATAAAAGTCCATTCTGGATAATAAACAAATCGCCTGTCGAAATGAAACAAATTTGGTATCATATGAAAGAGGAATGAAATAGCTTTTAAACAGAAATAACGAACGATCTTAATTTTTATTTTTTTTTATAATTTAATACTAAAGAAATGCATACACCTGACACAAGGTTTGTGCTATGGTACTTGATTAATATTTGTTATTGAAATATTTTTAAATATGTGGCTTTCCCCGTTTAGACATTTGAGTTAAAAAGATATTAAAGTCCTCTTTAATTTGGTACCAAACTTGTTTAATTTGGATAAGCGGTTTGTTTATTATCCAGAAAGGACTTTTTTTCGGAATAATATTCGCAACAACACTGCTCTGCAGTAGTCGACTGACGACACCCGTTTGTTTTGGTAGCTGGCCGGCTATTTATACTAATTGCCTGCCGCAAGTTCCTTTAGTCCTTTGATCTTACTTCTTTTTTGCAGTTGGTTGCTATTGCTTAACTTCTAGTATGTACAATTGTGTATAACCACAAAAAAATATGTGTTTTGTAGTTTTTTTACAGAGGTAGCACAAAGCATTGAAAGCCGATAAGTGTGAGACTTGCCTTTCGGCTCACCGCATTAAAAACCCGCCCCTGCTCCATTTCCCTGATACCGTGGAAGATCCGCTATGTATTACTTCGCGACGGGAGAGCCTTCCTATGATTATCTATGGAGTTATTCCGCTTGACGAATTTTCTTAGTATAGTGCTTGGCATATTACAAACAACGGAGCAATTTTCTTTTGACTCAAGTATGATATCCGCAATTTTCTTTTGACTCAAGTATGATATCCGCAGGGTTATCAAACTTAATTGGCCTTCCCACCTTTAAGATCAAGTTGTCCCTTTATATATCGAACTGCGGACAAGCGCAAAAACAATGTTCAGCGTCACAGATTAATTATCCTGTACAGAAGGTGCAGTACGGGTCGTCTTCGTGGGTAAATCTGTTAATATTTCGGTCAGGCGGGAGTCAACCTCTCCATGTTTTCTGTCGACCCATTTGCTTATACGCAGTAGTTCCAACTAATTCTCTTGTCACTATGTCAATAGAAAAAAGACCAGCTATTATTAACGCTGCCCCTTTGATGTTGTTCGAAACGCGTAACCTACTCTTAAGCTGCAAAGTCAGCATATCGATTCGACGGAATGATTCTGACCGCGTTCTTGCTTCAGACCACTGGCGTTTAGCTTTAGCCTTAGCAGCCCTACTACAACTTTTTCAGTCTGCAAATTCTATATGCGCTTTAAGTATATGAGAACCGAGTATCGAAAACGATGCATAAGTATTTTAAAATCTCCATCGGGTTATATCGTTGACATAAACACTGATTTTGGCCACTACTCGTAACTTCCTACTGCTGATCAAAACTGCCTTAGTCTCCTGCTGTGCCAGCTCTAGGCCTGCTTCTGTCAGCCAATCGTGTAGCCTAAGGATTGCAGCATTTGCAGCCGTTTTCAAATCTTGCATACGTAGGGCCATCACTGCTATATCGTCAGCGCACCCAATTATTTTTGCACCCTTTAACAGTCTAGATCGCAGGACGCCGTAGTACATTGCATTCCAGATCAATACCTGGTCGAAGATAGTTGCTTGTAATCCTCCGAAGATATGTTAAAACTTTAAACTTCTGGGGGCCTGAAGTATTTTCTGACAGCTTGAAGTATTAAAAACATTCTTAACATCTAGAGTAATAAACAGGCATTAGTTCTTCGATCCATGTCTTCCGGCTGATCGCCTCTTCAGCCAGCTGTTTAACTAAGTTAGCCGCTCCTACAGTGGGTCTACCCTTTCGGAATTTATACTGCAGGTCTCTTAATTAACTTCAGACTTTACGACCATCTCGTTTGATTCAAAGATCGTTTGTGATTTCCATATCGTACTACTCGATTTTTCTAATGTGATCATTATGCATTGGTTTTACAAAGCTGTCTGCCTCTTCTTTGGACTGCTCACAGCTATACCTGGCCACCTTATTATATATATCCCGATTTCCCTACTTTTTATACAATTTCTTTCAAATCCGCTCATCTGTTATAGTGGTTTTTCCTTTTCCATTATTAGAAAACGGGCAGATAGTCTTCTCTATAGAATATACTTTTAAAGACGCTGCAGGCGTTTGACATGAGAAAAGACTAATTGATCTCCAGGTTCCCCAAGTGGAAGCCTATGCGCAATTCTTCTCTGGTCAGAAACCATATAGATAACGGTGCCGTGACATAGCTCCAAGTAGCATAAACCCAAATTTAAAATTTAAAATTTGGAATTATGTTACTCCTTTTGTAGTGACATAAATCCATTTTTTTACTTGGGGTTGTCAGTTTATAAGGAGGGACAACTGGTAAAAAAAAGCGCGATTTTTTATTCGAAATTTTCAATAAATGTATATGGGACGCTTCATGTCAAACTACGGACCAAAGCTCTGCCCAAAATTCTATGCGATAGAAATTAACGATTAGATTCCCTTAAAATTTTACGATTGGCAGTTCTTAAAGTCGCCGATTATGAAGCTGAAATCAGATTAAATAAATTCAAAATGGTGGATCCATATTACCACGGAATAGTTAAAATCGAGCGTACGTACATACTACTTATACGTACATGGCGTATGAGTTTCGCAAACGAAATGTCAATGTCACTCATACGCCATGTACATACGTACCAACTCAAGAAAAATTACAAGAAAGTTTTTCATTATTTCTCTTGATTGAAAAAATAGTTTGCCATTGCTGTAAATTTTCTTGAAGAAATATTTACATAAACGAGCAATTTTTTTCTAGAGAGCTAAACTAAAAAATTTTAATTAATTTTTTTTGTTTCTTGAGCATGCTTTTATACGATGTTTTTATTTTTCTAGAGAGCTGGAAACTAGGTATGCTTTAGGCTCAAAAGTGACATGATGCCAGTTGGTTTTATGATGCTTTAAGTGAAGTGGGGTTAGGTCAGGGTACCATCCATTGGTTTCCTTATCCCTGTTTGCGTGAATGACATCAGCTTCTCTGATAAACGTTAAAAAGAAACCTTGCTGTACACATTTTATACCTAAGAATTAGATTTTAGGCAAAGTAAATGAATGATTTTTACTTGGTCGTGACTGTGTAACTCACAGAATGTGCTCTGGTGTCTCATCGCCCTCAAGACAAATGCGGTATTTTACAACGCTTTTATCAACTAGCAATGTTGTGTGTCCAGACAGCTATAAAACCTTTGCTTTGCAAAGTTCCTATAAAGTTTAGACATCAACCTCGTCGGTTGAGTGGTAGATGTCGCCTTATGCACTACGTACGCTACGGCGGAAATGGACGACACGCCATTTCTTTGAATGAAATTAATGGTGCTCTTATGTATGTACATACATATGTATATGCATGTGTGTGCAGCAATCTATTAATATCGTTTAATTATTTTATTATCTATTAAAGAACTGTAAAATTCAACATTTTCCGTAAAAATGTCTTTATCAAAAAATTTCATACATTTCTATGTCATGTCAACTCAAACAAGGTGTTGTGCCATGTCAATCCATCTCAAACATACTAGGGCTTTTCGCGATTCGGTGCTTAAGAGCTGACAAATTTATGCAATTGCAGAAATATGCCATGGATTATGAGCGACCTTTATAAAC